CACAAGAAACAGAGTGATTATTATCTATACGGGCTGAGCACAGTATATGACACAAGGTATGTGTTCTCATTAAACATCTGAATCAATGAATGAATATAGCCCGTCTCCTTCCTTTTCTGACCAAAGTATTTTTCTGAGCCACCCTTGTGGTGATTATTCCTCAGTAGATTTCACACGTTATCAAGTCTTTTCCTTAATATCTGTTGAATTCTTGGCAATGTTTAACTCGATGATCAGCTTAATAATATTGATTTTAATAACTGGCATTTAATGTATTTTCAAAACTCTAAAGAAACATCAGGAACTCTTTCCTAGAGGATCTACTAAGACCAAGCTGCTTTGAATTTCTTAAATTGCCATGGTTTTAAAACAGAGATTCAGACGTTTCATGGAAAACTTCCCTTCAATGAAACAAGCTGTCACTGAATCAATCATGGTTTTGGTTATACAGGAAAAGAATAGTTTGCTTATCAAATCTGTATTTCCATTAATGACTTTTAAAACATAGTTTCAAGGAAACTTAATTCTTAATATGAGACATACAAATTTGTTTTTCCAAATAAAAAGGTAATGACAAATGATTACAGAATTGTAAAAATATCACAAAATATTTGTAAAGGTCAGTGTGACAGAAGGAGAAAAAATCTAGCTGGACAATCCTAAATTACATTTTTTATAAAGTGCAAACTCAAAGCACTAAACATGAAGTCTGATTAACCCCATAAACCTTCCATAACTGTGCCTGTGACAAAAAAAATGCATTATTTAACCAAACGTGAAATTCCATTGATCAACATTACAGGACTATTTGAATGACTGAGTATGCACTGGTGGAATATATGTTTTCACAGTATTGACCATGAGGATTTCTTAGAATATATGAATTTTTTGCTAAAATTTTTGGGTTTTATTAGAAAGCCAAGTGATTTGAGGACACTGCCTTGTGAAACTATAAATCTCCAGCCAGCTTCCCCTTACTCATCTGACTTCTACCCAGCCTAGTAATATATACCAAAGTAGCCACCAGCTTTGGAAAGGGGCTGTGAATTATGCTAAGTTAGGCAATATTTTGACTTTTCTTCAATTTTGAAGAATTATATATTTTTGTTATTGTTCTTATAGTCATGGCCCAAGAAAACAAGTTTTAAAAGCAATGCTGAATAAATAGAAGACAATCTTTCACACTTTTCCATATAATTAACATTGCTTCTCAGATTTTAGTGAAGAAAATCTGATTTAGGTCTGTCTCTAAGGCAAGCAGGATTTAACAACATGTCAACCCAGATTTCTGGTCAACTGAAAAATATAATGCCAAAAGTAAAGAAATAACATAGAATCCCATGTTAATCCTCAATATAATGCTGCCATTAATTTTTAAAAACATCCTCAAATTTTATTATAAATTCATAAGTGCTTTTCAAATCAAGCAAGTGACACTGAAGCATTTTCTTTCTCCTCACTTTCAGGAAGAACCACTCCAGCAATGAGGCTCTGCTTATTCAGAAGTGAAATCAAACCCTGTGGCCTCCCAGGTCCTTTTTAGCCCCAGCACACAGAGCACTGTGAGAACACAAAAGAGCCATCAGGGAAGATCAGGTACCAAGGACTAAGGGGACCAACCAGCCCCTAAAACACATCGCTTACTGGGGCAGAACTACAAAACTGGAAACTGCTAGGCGAGCACTTCCTGCAGATGAAAGCCAGATTCCTGTACTCAATCACACGTGCAAGAGACCACGAAACCTGGCCTGTGTCCGTCCCAGCAGGCTGCAAATGCTTTTGGCTCAACATCGCCAGCACTGGGAAAGCACAAACATAAACGTACACTTATTGGTGAATTAGAAATACATTATGCTTCAGAATACTCTGACATGAGCATGTTTCACTCCATGAAACACATGGAGTGGAAGAATTGCTGCATTTTCCTTCCATGAAGGATGTCTCCCTGCGTGGGAATCAGTGAGTACCCGTCTGAACCACATCATCACCTGTGGTTATTGAGATGCCCCTAATAATTACACCAACATTAGAAATATGGGTATAGTATAATGGGTCTCTAAGACATTTATAAAGGACTTTGATAACAGCACAGTTTAAAAAGAGATACGTTCTTAAGTTGTCTTCAGGGAAACTGAAACCTGTGAGATTGAATCCTAATCCTACTTAGAGCAGATTTTGCAGGCTTTGAGAAGGACAAGGAGTGAGCACAGGATGAAAGGGCTTGGCTTTGATTTCTTTTGAGATTTACAGCCCAAAAGAAAAAAACAGAGAGGTTCAGTTACAGTGGTTCCTTCACTGTTGGTTAGCAGACGTAACCAAAGTTAAATGAGAACACCACCTCCACCTATTGTGATATCTACTATCAAGAGGGAAGTTTCTAAAAAAAAACACACCAATATTTCCCTGAATGGGAACTTGCCTTAGTTCAGTTGCTAATTTTATAGTCAGAAGGGTCTGCAGCTTCACAAAGATCAACGCGACCTCCTCATTGATCTCACCCAGCTTCTGCCACTTAAGTCATGTCACCTTCCACGTCAATTATTAGCAAGGTTTATTTCTACCATTTTCAATTATTTCCACTGAATAATAAAAATAAAATAAAAGCCATGATTGAATGAGGGGTATAATGTCATAAAATATCAGATTTGCCTTCAGGCCTAAGCCGCCTATTCTTCCATGAGGCTGTGCTGTAACTCTGCGTCCAGGGTCGCCATGGAGACACACAAGGTACTTCTGGTGAACTCCTCCTACTCTTGGGCAGTGGGAGTGGCCACCAAAGACCCACACAACCTCCCCAAATCCAGAGTGTTGACCTCCTAAAGTCAAATTTCAAAACATTTTTTCTTCATCTAAAAAACCGTAAAATAAAAATATGGGTTTTTTTCCTCCTCAGTCAGTTGATACAGTGGTCACAAATACAATATTATTTTAGGATTCCACCCACATTTTTTTATTTATACTTGTGTTTACAGAATCCCAGACAGCCAGGGCCACATACGGGACTGACACAGCCTCGCTGGCTGTTTCAAATGGACCATGCCGTATGAGGCTGTCAGCATGAAAATATGACTCATCCCACATACCTATATATCCTACAAATGCTGCAGGGCCTTGCTGATTATATTTATAGAGTTGTAACACAGTCTAAGATTAATGAATCACAAGTATACTTCGTATTGTCATCACTGTGTCTCACTCTCTCTGTATTAACATACTCTCTACTTCTTACACCAATTACTCACCTTTAAAAAGAGGTAGGAAAAATGGGTGTTTTAGGATGGAAGCTTGTCTTCCTACATGAAGCTGGAAGTGCCTGGACTCTCTCGGTCTTGCTAGTTATATCACTAAAGGTTCTCCACAGAGTGCCACACCCTCCTTCCCCAGCCTCGCTCAGGCACTCAGACGTGTGTCTCCCACTTCTGATCAAAAGCCAGCTTTGCTTATGAAACTTGTCTCCTGCCCCCGGGGTAAACCCTCAGTCACGAATCAACAGGACAGGGGATGCCCAGGCTCTCTGAGTCCACAGAGCTGCAGAACATGATCTTTTCTGAAGATATTTAAGTAGGATGTTTAGGTGAAGGAAGAACAGTACTCAGCCAGAAAGTCAAAAGCTCTCTTAAAACTAAATGAGGCAATGAGTTTATTCTGGAACATTAAATAATGCACTTCTACTATAATGTTGATCGTATTTTAACACTTTGAACTGGATTTTTTTTAAAAAAAAGAATGGTTTAGATTTGGGGAAGCTGGTCAAAATGACCCTTGATGGACCATTAGCACACTTACTTCCACTGCCAATAGTATAATTTATTTAAAATTGGAATTGTAACAATACTACTGGATAATTTACGAAAGGAAAAGAAATATGAAAGGAAGATCTAAGAGACAGAACAATAAAGTAAACGACAACTAAAATGATATATATGTATATAAGACAAATCAAAAACTGTCAGGAGAAATGTGGACAGTAAAGTAAAAATTACTGTGCTAAACTTGGCATGGTGGCATGGGCCTGTAATCTCAGCACTATGGGAGGATGAAGCAGGGAAGTCTCAAGTTCAAGCCCAATCATGACTATTTACCAACTTAGTGAAACCATACCACAAAAGAAGAACAAAGATAAAAATAGAGGGCTGGGTATGTTTCTTCATGCAAAGGTCCTGAGTTCAATCCCCAGTACAAAGGAAAGAACTGAAAATTAAATGAGTAAATACTATATAGAGAAAAGGTTTTACGTAGCCAAGAACATCTTACAAAGTTTGCAACTGCTTTTAAGATTAAGGCCAGAGAAGGTCTGACTAGAAGGGGTAAAGATAAGTGGAACATGAGTTCCTGTACCCCTGGAGAACAAAATGTAAGTATCTGGTTTCTGAAATTAGGATAGAAATGCAAAATTCTGAACAATCAGCAGTTTACTTTTTTTTTTCATAGAACAAAAAGAGTTCAACCCCACCCTTCTCACCTCCAATGTAGCAGAATGACTGCCACTGCCACTGTTCTGAGCTGAACTGCATGATCCTAAAGCTATGCTGAAGTCCCGGGTGCGGACCTCAGGCTGGGGCTGGATGGAAATGAGGCACTTACAGGTGTCCCGGTTAAGACGCGCTCTGTGTGGGTGGGCAGAGCCTTCACCCGGCGGGACTGCTGTCCTCATCCTCATCCTCGTAAGCAGAGGGGCTCTGGACACAGAGCCAGACACCAGGAGGACGCCAGGTGCCCCTGAGGGCAGAGATAGAGGGATGCACCCTTGGGATGCACCACGGGGGGCTAAGGGCAGAGCCTCTGGGACACATGGAAGAATCCTACCAGAGTCTCAGAGGAAGCCGGCCCACTGGACAGCTCCATCTCAGCTTCGGGGACAGGAATTCCTTTGTCTACAGCCGCCCAGTTGTGGTTCCTGGGTATGGCAGCCCTGGACCTCACAGAGCCCCATGTTCACGTAAGAAATCTGAGCAGCAGACGGGGCCAGGCAAGCAAAGGCAGTGCCAGGGTGATCTCACCTGCTACGTAGTCGCCAAACCCAATGGTCGTCAGGGTGATGACCACAAAATAAATGGCGTCCAGGGCGCTCCAGCCTTCTATGTGCTTGAATATGATCGCGGGTAGGGCCACGAAGAGGACACAGCCAAACAGGATGAAGATGATGGTGGAGATGATGCGGATCTTGGTCTGACTAACATTCCACTTCTGGAGAGGCAGAGACGGAAGCCTGTTATTGTCATGCCTGCAGGGCCACCTAACTCCACGCTATCAGAGCGTGAGAAGGTGATTTCCTTCCACCCTTTCTTAATCATCTTTATGAAAACTGGATGTAACATAAATAGCTCAAAACAACTGACATTAATAATGACATAGCTTCGCAGCAGGTAAAATATTTTTTGAAAGCACACTGCATTTTCTCTGGGAATATGACTTCAGATAGCATCCTTAATGTGTTAGGCGTATAGTTGTTGTGTACCAAATACAACTTAGAAATACTTCAGGTTAGAAAGAACTGAAACAGGAATTACATATTTAGAATTGAGAGTTGGTAAACATTAATTATGAAATGAATTAAATTACAGAATTAATTCTGTTTATTGGCATATAATACTCATAAAGTCTGCGGTCTGACTCTCACATGAACTGTGAGTGGCGAGTTGTTCCACTAAGGTGGGGAAAGTGTGTTATTTTACTACAGAAGCTTGTCTTTTTTTGCTCTTTGAGACGGGGTTTCACCAAGTCACCAAGTTGCTCGGGCTGGGCTTGATCCTGCCACCCTGCTGCCTCAGCCTTCCAGAGTGCTGAGATTACCGGTATGTGCCACCACGCATGGCTGAGGCTTGTGTTCTTACGTGGGGTTATAAATGTCTGAAACTGCCCCTCTGCTTTATGGTCCAAACTGTACAACCAGCAGAGCTACAGAATCTGTAGGCAAAGATAAACCTTCAACAATCCCAGCCATAGCTGCTGTAGACTGGCAGCGTTTTTAGTTCCTCTGACAACAGGCAATGTCCACAGCGTGAGGCATTACATGAAGCAGGCATACGTGCTCTCTACTCTTGGCCAGTTACCGTGTACCTTAAACCTCTGGCTGGACCTGTCTTGTGTACTCAAAAAAGTTCAGGTCACATCCTACACCACAGGAAAGTCACTAACTCCTACAGCTCGGAGAGGATTTGGACACAAATATCTGAATCCACAGAAAAGAAGGAGGCCGCGGGAGTCTTTAGTCTGCCATCCCCATGGTATATGTGAGAGTTAAATGAGCTTGTGATCAGCAAGTGTTTAGAATAGTGCTTGGTATCAAACACCGAATCGAGCTCACTGTCGTGGTACTACCACGAGGGCATTCTTTCAACGCAGCAGCATACAGGTCACATGAGAAATGTTATCAGCACAGTGTGGGGAGCCAAAACTGTGTTGCATGAATGAACAAACAAGTCAGCAAGACCAAGCCTGTGCCACTGATCTGCCCTGTGGACTACTACAAATACAAGACACTTTAATATCTATACAAGTAAGGTATCACACCTCCAAAAAGGAACAAAAGTCCTATTTTGGACTATGTCTTATTCTACTCAAACACTAAAAGTATTTGAGAGCTAATTTTGATGTTAAATATGATGTTAAACAGCTAATGATAAAACTGGAGCAGTAGTGAAAATTGAGAAACAATACTCAGTAGTTTTAATTCAGCAGAGGAATTAAATGTAAACATTTTGTAAATGTGAAAAGATAAAACACTGAATAATAAATAAAATTTATTAGCAATAGTGGTGTTAGTAGTAACAAATGATTTATAATCCTATGTTGTAATGCAGTTCCTTTTTCTATAATTTTCTTATAATCGCAGGCATATTGTTTTCCTTAAAACTACAGTAAAAACATTTTTATTTTATTAATTTTTTTCTATTGAGTACAATACTTGCTTTGCTTGTGCTGAATTATAGTCCTTAGACAAACTTCTATCAATGGCACTTCTGAGCTCAGTTACATGGTCACCATTTTTGTTGCTGCTATTTATTATTACATTCTCCTCATAGGGGCTATGTAAGTTTACAATGCCACAACCAATGAACAAAAGTGTCAGAGGAATTTTTTTAAATAACAAAAATATTGTCAGTCATTTGGTACCTATGTTCAGGTATAATTAAGGCTGCTGCCCACCCTGGAGTAGGTTCATGGTACTGTCATGCCAATTATGCAAGTAAGACTGATGTTGGAGGGAAAATAACTAGTTTAAGAGAACACAGGTAGATGACAGCTATGAAACTTGAACCTAAGACTGTTGATTACTTTTTTCTGTACATACTTTTGAGTTTTTCTCAAACCAGCAATAATTTACTCATTCAGATAAGCAGAAAATAATCAAAATGCCATGACTTACACAGAGAGGCATATAAACTGTTATATAAATCCCAATAACTGAATTTCTTAGCTCTATCAGAGGTATAATATTTTAAAATTAAAGAATAAATATATGTGTTAAAAGTCTATGGTACTCACAATAAATGTATCTTCCACTTTGGCAATTCCTTTTCCAAAAATGGTCCCTAATTGATCTCCAACTCCAGCCAACAGAAAACCAAAGAGAGGAATTCCCAGTAAGGCATAGATAATACAGAATATTTTTCCGCCTTCGGTACGTGGTGAGATGTTTCCAAATCCTAAAAAAAGAAAAAAATTCAGTCCTTTGTAAATGAGTAATCTAAATATCTAACTTCCGGATTGATCCAGAAATTCCCACATTATCGCAATTATTGATTTCAACTAGTTAAGAATCCCTTTATATTACCTAATCTTTTGATACATTTGATATGAAACACTCTTCCAAGCAAATGTTTCAATAATATACGAAGTATGGGTACTGTTCCAATTAAACTGCGATAAAACTGTGACATCTGAGGTGCCAACATATGCAATAAAGTCAATATTTTCATCCAATTAGCTTCTGTCTCTCTGGCACTGGCAATCTCATTGGTTAGTCCAGCTTTCATCAACATTTAGAACACACTGAAAAGAATGGATTTTCTTCATTTAAGAGTATTTAAACACATTTAAATTATTTAAATATTAAAGCTGTGTAGCAAGTTTTTAACTTTTCATTCAAGTAGACTCCAAAAGGCACTAACTTTAAACTTAAACTTCTTTTTAAAGTTCGGAAGCTTCAGATGCCTTTCCTGTTTTGTGCAAGGACATCTGTTTGTCAGCATCCTGGCAGTGGAACTTTGTTTGCTTTATAGTCACAGGAACACTCTGCGCACATGAGAGTAAAGACTGATCCCCTTCTAGAAACCCACAGAACGCCTCCTTGGTGGATAATTCTCTCACTGTCCTTCAGTTTAAATTCAGTGTAGAGGTCTTTTGCTTCCTTTGTTAGATTGATTCCTAGATATTTCATGTTTTTGGATGCTACTGTAAAAGGAATTGTTTTCCTAATTTCTCTCTCAGTGAGTCTGCTATTTGTGTATAAAAAGGCTATTGTTTTTTCAGTGTTGACCTTATATCCAGCTACTCTACTGAATCTTGCAATTAAGTCTAGAAGTCTTTGGCAGAGTTTTTTGGGTCTTCTATGTAAAGTATCACATCATCAGCAAATAATGACAATTTAACTTCTTCCTTTCCTATCTTTATTCCTTTTATTTCTTTCATTTTTCTAATTGCTGTGGCTAATATTTCCAGAACTATATTGAACAGGAGTGGTGATAGTGGGCATCCTTGTCTTGTTCCTGATTTTAGCGTGAAAGTTTTCAGTTTTTGACCATTTAGTATGATGTTGCCTGTTGGTTCTTCATAGATAGCCTTAATCAGGTTGAGATAAAGACCTTCCATTCCAATTTTCTGTAGGGTTATTATGAATGGGTGTTGGATTTTGTTGAATGCCTTTTCTGCATCTATTGAGATGATCACATGGTTTTTGTCCTTGACTCTGTTAATAAAGCATATTACATTTATTGATTTACGAATGTTGGTCCATCCTTGCATCCCTGGGATAAATCCGATTTGGTCAGGGTGTATGATCTTCTTGATGACCCTCTGTATTCTGTTTGCCAGAATCTTGTTGAGGGTTTTTGCATCTATGTTCATTTAGGGAGACTGGCCTGTAGTTCTCTTTTTGGGTTTTGTCTTTCCCTCGTTTCGGAATCAAAGTAACATTTGCTTCCAGGAATGAATTTGGAAGTATTGCTTCCCTTTCAATTTCATTGATGAGTTTGAAGAGTAATGGTGATAGTTCTTCTTTAAATGTCTTGTAGAATTCAGCAGTGAAGCCATCAGGACCTGGGCTTTTCTTTGTTGGTAAATTTTTTATTATATTTTCAATTTCACTCATTGTAATTGGGGTGTTTAGAATTTCTATATCTTCTTCACTTAACTTTGGCAATTCATATTTATCTAGGAATCTGTCCATTTCTTCTGTGTTTTCCATTATATTAGAGTACAGGTTCTCAAAGTAGGTACTGATGATCCTCTGGATTTCTGCTGGGTTTGTTGTGACTTTACCTTTTTCTTTATTAATTGCATGGATCTGAGCTTTTTCTTTCCTTTTTTTGATAAGCTTGGCTAAAGGTTTACCAATTTTATTTATTCTTTCAAAAAACCAACTTTTTGATTCATCGATTTTTTTGTATCATTCTCTTAGTCTCCATTGCATTGATTTCTGCTCTGATCTTTATAATTTCCTCTCTTATACGAGCTTTGGGTTTGTCATGCTCTTCTTTTTCTAGAAGCTTGAGGTTCTCCATTAGGTTATTTATTTGAGTTCTCTCTGTTTTCCTAATATGGGCATTGACTGCTATGAATTTCCCACATAGAACTGCTTTCATTATGTCACATAGATTCCTGTATGTTGTACTGGCATTATCATTTACTTGCAGAAACTGTCTAATTTCTTCTTTAATTTCCTCTGTCACCCATTGGTTGTTCAGGAGGGTGCTGTTCAATTTCCAGGTGTTTGTGGGAGTTTTGCGGTTTCTTATGTTATTGATCTCCAATTGTATTGCACTATGGTCTGATAATATACAGGGACTAACTTCAATTCTTTTACATTTACTTAGATATGTCCTATGAGCTAGCATGTGATCTATTTTGGAGAATGATCCATGTGCAGCTGAAAAGAATGTGTTTTCTGATTTTGTGGGGTGGAACACTCTGTAACCATCTATTAAGGCCATTTGTTCAATAGCTTGGTTCAGTTCTAGAATTGCGTTGTTAATTTTTTGTCTAGGTAATCTGTCTATTTGTGATAATGGGGTATTGAGGTCCTCCGCTACAACTGTATTAGTGCTTATTTGATTTTTCATGTCCATTAATATTTGTTTTGTATAGTTGGGGGCATTTGTATTTGGTGTATATATATTTAGGATTGTCATCTCTTTCTCTTAGATTGTTCCCTTCACAAGGATGTAGTGACCATCTTTGTCTCTCTTAGTTAGTTTTGGTTTGAAATCTACTTTGTCTGCAAATAAGGTTGCTACCCCTGCTTTTTTCTGGGTTCCTGTCGCATGGAGAACTGTTTTCCATCCTTTTATTTTCAGTCTATGAATTTCTTTTTGACTTAGGTGTGTTTCTTGTGTACAGCATATTGGTGGATTTTGCTTCTTAATCCATCCTGTCAGTTTATTTCTTTTGATAGGTGAATTGAGGCCATTAACATTGATGGTTATAATTGATAGATACTGACTCATCCTTGTCGTGATGTTTACTGTTGTTGGCTCTTTTATTTATTATTTTTTCCCTCTTTGCCTTTAGTGTCTTGCCTTGCCTGGTGGCTTCCCTCTGTTGGGCCTCATGGAGTTGTGGCCTTCATTGTCTTCTTCTAGGATATTGTTTAGAATTGTTTGGAGTGCTGGTTTGGTGTTCATGAAATTTCTCAGGTGTTCTTTGTTGTGGAAGTATCTAATTTCCCCATCGATTTTGAAAGATAATTTTGCAGGACACAACAGTCTAGGTTGGAAGTTATTTTCTTTTAGGGCGTGAAATACTTCATTCCAGGCTCTCCTTGACTTGAGGGTTTGTGTGGAGAAATCTGTGGTGATTCTGATGGGCTTTCCTTTGGAGGTGATTTGTTTCTTTTCTCTAACTGCCTGTAAGATTTTGTTCTTCTTTTGGGTTTCTGGGATCTTGATTATTATCTGTCTAGGTGTAGATTTTTTTTTTAATCATGGCTAGTTGGAGTTCTATATATAATCAAAGTACACCCCAGGCTTTCTTAACTGGTTAACTCTGTCTTGTCCTAACAAAATCCAGCTCAGATATTTCTGCCTCACACAGGCAGTGCTAGCTGTTCACCAGATTCATGTTCTTCTCTTCTCAATGTCAGTTACTTATATTTCCCAGCCTCCTGGAATGGTAGGTGTAGTCCTAAGCATTAGTTCTAAGCATGTAATATAAGCAGAAGGGATATGACATTTGTTGAGTTGGCCCATCCACACTTGCTCCTCTTCTGTCAAGGAGAAACACCTGTTGGTGCTAAAAGCTCCATGATGAAGGTGGGACAGCCTCTGCCAGTCCAGGTCCTTGAAACACAAGGTGGAGAATCAGTCTTCTGGCCCATTCTCACCTACCCAGGTCTGCTCCCCCTTTCCGCTGTCACCATCACCACACTTCTGCTGTATGCCAGGTTGCTGGGTTTTGCAGGCCTCAGTCTCACTGTGGCCGTGGTTCTTACAATATCCTCCAAGCCGAGCTGAGCTGAGGCACTGCTGAGTCAGTGCTGCATCTTGGGGCCTGATGGAAGCTCCCCGAGCTGAGCCTGAACCTCAGAGAAGGTGTCACAGTCCATCTTTCACTAGTAGTTCTGCCAAGTGGAGGATGAGGCTAGTTCCGAGAGTGCAAGAAAAACTAGACTCCGTCAGTTTAAATTAATCAGAAACTTAATTCTAATTTTATTTTACTCAAACGTATGGACAGTCTTTTGAGATTGGCTTTTGGCTGTTGTTTTCTAACTTTCTGACTATTATAGTCAAAGATTATGGCCTGTAGGATTTTTGCCTTTTGGAATCTAGTGAGATTTTCTTTGTGGATCTGTTATGGCTACATTCTATAATTGTTTAATCATTGCTTGAAAAGAATATGGATGCTTCATTTGTTAAGATTCAGAAAAAGCATAATTATATTTGGCCATCTTGAACCCATACATTTTTTCCTTGTAACATTTCTACCTTTTCCTTCTTCTTAGTCAGTTTGGTTTACTGTTAGTCAATCCATCTTTTGAGGGATTACTTTAAATGTACCTAATTTTCAAGAACTTTGAGTTTTTTCTATGATCCAGTTCTATGTCATGATAGCAGCAGTGTCTTGCACTTCCCCTAAGGAGGTGAACTTTTTAAGCTGCTCAGCGCTCCTAGTCAGATTTCCATACTTGTAAGCACAATGCAATGCTGGCTTGGTTAGCACTTGCAGGTGAGAGACACTTTCTGGCCTCAGGGGGATCACAGCTGAGCTGCTCATACATGGCAGATTCTGGTCCAAGGCACTGGAACAGCTGTGCGGGTCTGTGGGAGTTGGGTAAATGTGCTCTTCACACAACCTCCACTCAAGGGACCAGGTTCTCCCGGTGCTTGGTGACAGTCACCAGCTCCCAGCAGCCTGACACTTCTCTGGTCCACTTCACCTGCTCTGGGGATGTCTGTACACATATCTCTGGGCTAAGCTTCTCTTCACGGCT